TGGCAACGGTAATGGCGGCGGTTCACGGCAGGTGGTGAGGTGAGGCGCGGGTGGGACTCGAGAGACGAGCAGTGGGGGGGCGGGGGGGCGCTTTGGGATTATTTTGGCATGTGCGACGATGTGCGGAAAAGGGAAGAGACTGAGGGAACGAACGACCCCAAGCTATATGCAGCCCGCCATCGTATTGTCCTCAAGTGCCACTGCAGCTAACGGATTGTCCGCGCGCTACAGGAAAATGGACACGAATGTAGAGTTGGAGGCGACTCGACATGGGCAATGGCGTGCGATATTGAAATGGCGTGGGCGGCTAGGCGATGTTAATGCAACGTGTCGAAGAAGTTGCATTAGAGGCACTTTGAGGGAAAAGGATTTTTCGATAGGTGCGAGTGGCTGTGCTTGGCGTGAAAAGCGTTTAAATCGCAGGATGAAAATTACGAAATACGAGTCGTACCGATCAAGGAGAATATCGAATGTTGGAAAAGCGAGCGGCGCTTTGGGCGACATTGGCCGGAGGTTTTGCATCAGCTGACAAGAGACGGGGGGAAAAATATGGGTACAAGGTAGGGAAGAGGATAAGGCGAAGCTGTGAAAGGCAACGTGTAAAAGCAAATACGAGTACGGGATAAAGAAACGCGAGTAAGAGTGAGAGGGGGTAGAGGGAAAGGAAGATAGATAGATAGAGATAGATAGATAGATAGATAGATAGATAGAGAGAGAGAGAGAGAGAGAGAGAGAGAGAGAGAGAGAGAGATTAAGTAAGAGAGAGTGAGTGAGAGTAGTGTGTGAGAAGAGCGAGATGGATTGTGAGTGACAAGATAGAGCATACATGTTCGGGACCACATAGAAATTTATAGTGAGAATAAGAGATATACCGAATCGACCAGGAAGAAAGGCAAAAAGAGGGAAAGGTCGAGATGTGTAATAGCATTGAAGGGAGCGAGAGGGAGAGATGGTAGACGAGACTGTGCGGCCCCTCCAGGTAATAACAGTAAATCCTGAGCAATAAATCCCTCTTCTCTCTGTCCGTTCGTCGCTCTCACTCACTCTCTCTCTCTCTCTCTCTCTCTCTCTCTCTCTCTCTCTCTTTCCTCTGCCCTTCATCGGAATCGCGCGCGCGCGCGCGCGCAATCCTGGCGAAGCCAGGCGCCCTTTTATCTGGATACGCGTATAGCTTCCACTCTCGCCTCCTCCCCTACCCTCCCTAACGCCCTCACTCCTCCGCCCCGTTGGCCGCCGACGCCGCATGCAGCTACTCGCTCGACGCGTGTACGTACGCATTGGCTTGCATTGTAAATTGTTCCCATGCCCCCTTTGCACCCTCTCCCTCCCGCCACACAGCCGTTGCATGCACCCTACATGCAGTGGATTAACGACGCAAACGGCAATGGTTGGGCGGGTTGGGGAGGATCGGTGTTGGTAGGTGGGGCTTGGTGAGGGGGAATGGCGGAGGGGAAGGCGATAAACGACAAATAGTAAAACAGTCGCTGATGACGCGACGGCCACGAGAGGATCGGGGGAATTTCGGAATAACAAAAGAGCGTGACCCTGAATCCAAGAGAACTTCCGAATTGTTAGAATTTATCGTATAACCTTTTTATTTACGATGCCTGGACACTGACGTTGGACCTCGGCTGGATTATACATTTGAATACACTTGGCAGGATGTTATTTATGTTAGAGTGCCGAACGCTTTTCTAACGAAGGAGTAATAATGCGGGCGTCGATTTTCATTTAATGCCTGAAATTGAGAACAATTAGGTCTAATTCTCGTAACGGCCAGTTTGGCCATCCAACGCTAATGGCAATCTAATAATTATAATAATTCGCCTGAATGTGTCGCCTAGGCATTGTACGCAAGGCCTCGGTATGTGGTTGGTGCTGTTATTATTTTTATGCTGCAATTGCAATGAAAGAGTCGAGGCTACTTTTCTTAAATGATTTATTGGTCCCTTCTCTTATTACTAAAAGCCACGTTGTTTAATAAGCAAAATTTTCCTTTAGTTGTTCATCTTCTTTCGTTGAGATGAAAATAGTATTAAATATCTCGTCGTGGTTGTATTGTGTCACGGACTCTCCCGTTCGCTCTCTGCCTTAACGCACTTACTCCGTAAATTTTTTTTTCTCTCCGATTATAATATCCATCCGTAGCTCGTACCACGTGAATCACGTAGGAGTTATCCATATTAAATCTGTGGTGAAGTTTGTTTACTTCGTCTTACACTCTGGAGGCGATTGAACGGAAGAATAGCGTAAACAGTACCGGTTATTAGACGTTGAGATCTCAAGCATTAAAGTGCCGATGTTACCGATCATGACCCACCGATAACAAAAAAAAAATTTACCATGGGAAAATTGCGTTCGAGGTATCCCTTTCGGAATTACGCTAGCTTAACTCAATGGCTATTTATTTAGCAAATGATTACACGAGTATAATTTTAATAGGATATTTAGGATAGGGTTTAATGTCAATTTTAATAGGAACTTAATGCACGACCAATGTGAATGTGTATAGGTAATGTGAAAGGCTCGCGTGGATGAAATTTAACCTGACGTGCAATCGATAAGACAGCTGGTAAAAATTAGGTACAATTAACACGACACTTTCCAGCGCCAAATCATTTTAATTTAACCATTTGCCAATTAATTAATGATCGAAGAGCAAAGTAACCTTTCGGCCTACGCTTGAAAAAAGACAAAAAAATCTTTCGTACCAAAGGAACGATCTTATAAGAGTTACGTTTATTAGTTGGTTTGTTTTTGTTTGTTTTTTTTTTGTTTTTTGTTATTTGTTATTTGTTTTTTTTTTGTTTTTTTTGTTTTGTTTTGCTTACCGGGATACCCATTAACCTCGATTCGACTAATACAGTTTAGACTTGGAAATAAATTCATCCAATTGCCGTGCAATTTCTGTCTGTACCACGGCATCTTGGATTGCGAGATGGTCCGGTACAAATTGATCGTATTTACTTAACGACGGCTGAGCGGAATATTGCGCCAATTTGATATTCGTTCCCTGCCAATTCTCGTACAAACTATCCGTCAACAATGAAAATTCCACTCACAAGCGATTACCCAAAGTCAGGTATGCGCCTGGCATTTTTGACTCTATTTCGAGTAGTGACGTCGTATTGCATGAAAGCCGATGGCCGATCGCCCAGACACGATTTGGCATTTCCCCTATCTCTCCTCCGCCCCACCCACTCGCTCTCAAACACGCGCATTCACTCAAATACAAACACGCGCGCGCTCTCTCTCTCTCTCTCTCTCTCTTTCTCTCTCTCTGTCTCTCTGTCTCTCTCTCTCTCTCTCTCTCTCTCTCTCTTCGTTTTATACAGGAGCGAGGCGCGCCTCGCTCTCGGCACACAGTGCACGACCAGGAACAGACGGACGGGCACTTAGGCGAGGGTCGGGAATTTGTAAGCACGCGAGCTTCCGTGTACGAAATACAAGCTGAGGCGAAAGATACATTGGTGGAATAATGGCCGACTTGGTTAGAATCAAGTGGAGCGGCCTATGTCTTTTTCATGACAGATACGACCAGCCGGTGAATGGCTCGGCTTTTCAAGGACTTTTTTTTCATCTTCCTTTTGTTTTCTTTTTATTTAACCGCGATTAGTTCATAATATTTCGCGATTTCTCTCCCCCATTGCGATCCCCCGTCATGCAAGAGCTCGCCTTGATTCGCTTTATTATAAAAATTTGAGATTAAAGGTGGGCAAGTGGAGCGTATCGATAGCCAAAGCGCTTTCATAAATTGCTGATTCTCCATTTCGGTGGGCTCAAAGGCCACGATAGACCGAGGGTCCTTCTTCATAATATTGAAAACGTAAGAGGACGAAGGAAGGCCGTAGAACGTCGGCACAAGCGCTGAAAAGCCACTACTCGCCTTATTAATTAATCACGCTCCTCCCGTCGGCCCTGTAACTATTGCCGTTTAAAAATCGCACGTTCATTATTGCTTATCTTGCTGGACGCACTCCCATCTCATAATGGAGTGAAAAACGTAAAAGAGCCGGGGATCGCATCGATTCAAAGCGCGGCTTTTATTCAAAATGCGCGTTTAAAGGACGAGCGACGAATCCCCCGGCGATAGACGAAGCACGTAAAAGGGCGGTTGGAGGCACCGGTCGCGTGATCCGGGAGACCGAGGGCATCATCAAAAGGATTAACCCTCGTAAAGTAGACGGGTAATCCGGAGCGCGTTCGTTCGCTGTCTGTGTGTGAGGTGCGTGCGTGCGTGCGTGCGTGCGTGCGTGCGTGTGTGCGAATTATCCGGGAGGTCGGACAACAAGGACGATAGCGCTTATCGGCGAGCTCGCCGCCGAAATTTATCGATAGACACGCTCGTACGGCAATGGATCGCGGGCGATGGAGTCATGGCGGCTTTATTGGGAGACGACGAGGCACTTGCAATTTTATCTCGCTTTATCGTAAGCTCGAGTCGAGATGAGAATACTCGATCGTTTATGTTGAGATATGAAATAGAGAATTGCGTGATTGATAAGCTTCGTAAACCATTGGGTTGACGTTCGGCCGAAATTTCGGCAGACTTTTGCATTCTCCGTCAAATACAGCGTCTAAAGACAATTGTTGTCGTGATTATTGTCAATTATACCAGAAGTGATTGGCCATGTTACGCAAAATTGTTGCACTGCAGTATCGTTCGTCATGACGTGCGTAACGGCCATAGAAAACAATCCCGTAACTTTAATAAAGCCCTATTAGATATAATATTGTTAGATATTTACATTGTTTCTAACCAATTATTATATAAATTTTGTTATTATAATTAATTAGGGCACAAGGGACTCCTATAGAGATTTTGCAATGCTAACGCAATCGTATAAAAGCCAATGTACGAATCGTTATATTTCGTCCTTTCGCCACATGACGAAGACGAGAGAAAAAAAGCAGAAACTAATTAATATGAACGAACAAAACTAAAGCAATAAAGTACTTACGGATTGACGAATCTGACATTCGATTGTTTCTCGTTTCAGAAAAGAGCAGTGTGCGCAACAACCGGAAGCGACGCATAAGCGAGGGCTCGACACGGGAAAAGAGCGAGCCATCGGAGTCGGTGCTACAGGCTCGACAAGAGGACCGCGAGAACAAAGGCCCGCTCTCGGGGAAGCCGGGCAACCGAACGCCCCGCACCGCCGTTCTCGAGGAGACGAACGTATCGCCGGCGGTAGCCAAGCTCCGCCAGCGCCGCGTACCCGGAGTCAAGGCGAGCAGCCCCGTGGTCGTCGAGAGCGGTCTACCACAGCGTCCGGTGCGCCGGAAGACTCGCCTCGAGGCGAAGCTCGCCGACGAGGACTCGGAGAGTAACGAGGAGCACCAGGCCCATCAAGCCCAACAGACCCACCAGCACCACCTGCGTATACACAGGAAGGAGCGACTCCCGGCCAAGGCCGCCCCCAAGGAAGGGGAGCAGCCCGATAGGGAGGAGAAGCCACGGGAGGATCCACTTATAAAGAGGCTGCGCTCGAGTCTCCTTGTGGACAAGGCGAAGAAGGAGGCGAGGGAAGAGTCGCGCAAGTCCAAGCCCGAGGAGCCGAAGCCCGAGACGAAGCAGTCCTCGAAGAAGTGCCCCGTCGTAAAGTCCGAGGAGGAGGAGAGTAGCGAGTCGAGAGAACGGGACCGCGAGCCCGAGCCGCCGCCCGACGTGGCCAGGGTCGCGGCCCAGGTCAAGTGCGAGCCGAAACTAAAGCCGAAAAAGGAGCAAGAGAAGGAACAGGTGCTGAAACAGGAGCGGGATCAGGGGCAGGAGCGAGAACAGGGCCGGGAGCAGGAGCAAAAGCGGGAGCAAGAGCAGAAGCAGAAGCAGAAGCAGGAGCAGAAGCAGGAGCAGGAGCAAGAGCAGGGGCAAGTGAAGGAGAAGGAGAAGGAGCAGGAGCAAGAGCAGGAGCAAGTGAAGGAGAAGGAGAAGGAGCAGGAGCAGGAGCAGGAGCAGGAGCAGGAGCAGGATAGAAAGCAGGAGCGTGAGGAGGTGTCGCAGGACAAGGAGGACGGGATTGGGAAGGGTGAAGACGAGGGGCGCGAGAAGGAGCGAAAGTGGAGCGAGTCCGAGGAGAGCAGCGAGCATGCTAAGGAGGAGGAAGAGGAGCAACAGGAGCAGCAGCAGCAGCAGCAGCAGCAACCGCTCGGTAATGGGGAGCTCCGCCGACTCGAGACTCCAGACTCCAAACCGCCGATCAAGCTCGAGCCCGAGAATACAACGGACCGGGCCCCAGAGCTAAGCCTGAAGAAGGACCTCGCCGCGGAAGAGCCGAGGGAGGAGTCCAGGGCCAACGACTCGAAGCCCAAGGAGCTGCTGGTGGGGTCCAGCAGTCGCGATACAACCACCGTGCTGGAGAGACTGAGTCCGCTGAGCGCCGGCGGCCGCAGCCTGCTCCTGCAACACCAGCAGGAGGAGCAGGAGCGAAGTCGGCACAACGAGAGTCCAGTTATTCTCGTCGAACGCCTGAATAAACCGCCGCCGGCCCAGCAGCAACCGCACCTTCACCAGCAGCAGCAGCAGCAGCAGCAGCAGCAGCAACAACAACCACAACAACAACAACAACAACAACAACCACAACCACAACCACAACCACAACAGCAGCATCACCAGCAGTCGACATTTCACCACCACCAGCAGCAGCAGCAGCAGCAGCAACAACAACAACAACAACAACAACAACAACAGCAGCAGCAGCAGCAACAACAACAACAGCAGCAGCAGCAGCAGCAGCTGCTGCAACAGCAACAGCAACCGACTCAGCACCACCATCATCAAGCTTATCAGCAACAACAGCAACAGCAGCAGCCTCAGCCACATCCTTTGCATCACAGAACCTATCAGGTGGAGCCGGTGCATCACCACCATCACCACCTTCACCACCCACACCATAATACTCACTTACTAAGCCAGACGAGCCTCCTAGAGGTGCATCAACAACAACAACAGCAGCAACAGCAGCAACAGCAACAGCAGCAGCAGCAGCAGCAGCAACAGCACCATCATCATCATCATCATCATCAGGTTCGAGGCGATGACGGGAGTGGACTCATGGAAGTCGAGGCTGGGCCCATTGGTATGGGTAGCGTACCGGGTATTCTGCCGATTGGCGCCGGTAATAATGTCCGGGCCGGTGCCGCGGCTGCCTATGGTGACAGCGGCAGCGATAGCGGGGTAAGCTCTTTGAGGAGCACCGGTTCCGGGGACGAACGCAGCGGAAGCCGCAGCTCGGCCTTGAGTGCCGAGGAGACAACGAGCGTCTCGTCCTCGACGCCAAATTCGGTGAGTGGCCAGGCTTCGGCGACGCCCGCCAGGATCTGGCACGTGCAAAGCGTCCAGCACACTTCCCTGCTGATGGCCCATCCTCATGGTCCCGGTTCAGCGCCACCGGGAGCCGGTCCCCCACCGGGCTTGCAAGCACCGCCCGTCGGCTACCCGAGCAGCGCAGCAGGGCCCGGACCAGCTACCGGACATCATCATCCCGGTCTCGCTCAGGAGCTCATATGGAGGCCGTCGGCGAGATTCTTGCCCCTGCCGCCGAGTTTGCCGCAGCAGCCGAGCCTCGGTGAGGTCCTCGAGAGGGACAGGCACGAAAGGATATTGAGGTGAGCTTTACCCACATTCCTTCTTGCTCGTCTCTTGCTCCTCCTTTAGTCAATACTGCGCAGCCTTGGCATTCCAACGAATACCCAGCAGAAGGCGATATTAGCAATTAAATAAGCTTACCACCTCTCAAGGTCGTGTAATCCTCCTCCGCCTCCTCCACGCCAAACTCTCACCCATTCCCCAATCCCCAATCCCCATCCGCCGCCCCTTTATCATCCTATTCCATCCCGAGCCCACCAACCTGCCACTCTCGTATTAAAATTTAACGAGCACGGGAAAACGTAACGAGAGCCACCGACCACTGACCGAGCCTCGTTAAAACAGTACTTTGACGAAAGCGGAACGCGGAACGGGCTCCCACGGCATTCCCTTTGTTAGCCAAATAACATTTCAAGTTCACGTAAATTTGCCTAGAACGAACTTTGTAGTAGAAACTTGAGGATAACCAGCACCACGAGCAGCTTGCCACGATAATTCAGGAGTGTCCGCAGCCGCGTTTTGCGACATTTTCATCGTTTAAGCCAAGTCCTACACTCATACATAATTGCACAGTCCTCGGTACCCTAATTAAAGCAATTTTTTTAGGGCAGCCCACCTTTTTGCAGGATGCACCTGTCAGTCTCGGTCGCGCGCGCATCTCGCGACGTCTCCTCGGCGACATCTTGTCTCCACTTTTTTTATCTCCCGCTCGCTCGCTCGCTCGCTCGCTCTGTCGTGCGCGTGCGCTCGCACTCCCGGCTAAATGACCGTTGGTAGGAAAAAAAAAGCGCCGGCAGCTGCGGCTTTTGTATTTCTTGCCGTTCGCCTTCTGTCGACCTTCGCTCTTTACGCGCCTTCTCTCTGGCCCTTTTTCGTCGCGCGCCTCATCATCATCGCTTCTGGTCTCGCGTCACTCCTCCCCCCCCCTCCTCCCCCCCACCCCTCATCCCCGAACCCGCGCAATTTTCTCTCCTTCATTTGTGCGTTACGAATAAGACTCGAAACTGCTTGCGTAAGCGCATCTAGGACTTTCATACTCGACGACGGCCGCGTCGCGTTTCTTGCTTTTTACAACGGCGTGCGTAGATTATAGCCTTACCAAGGCGCCCTTACACGCGTCCTCGGGAATCTCGGATAAATTCTCACATGAAGAATTAGAAAATCCCCGTATACGACGACATTAGTCGATCGTTGCTTCAGTCTTGTTGGCTAAAATTTTCAACAAACAATGTATTTGTTAAACTCCATAGCCTGCATTTGACTTGGATTTAGGTTTGGTTAGTTGGTTTGATGGTTTCGCGGTGGAGGGCGGTGGGGTGGGGGGTCGGAGGGGGGTCGGAGGGGAAGTCGCGTACACATAAGGAAGTTAAATGCTAACCTTGGTTGTCACTACACTTTGGTCGTATAAATAGGTTTCGGGATTAAAGGTGATATTTACACGTTTCTCGGGCTTTATAAGACTCGTTCGCTGCCCCGAATACTTTATTTACAACCAAATATTGACTCGGCTTAGTGCAGAGACGACTTTTCAACTTTACGAAGTTAGAATAAAGAAAAATAGATAATTTATAATATAAGCCGAATATTTTGATCGCCATTAGTATGAAATGAAATGTTTTCGCTAATGGATTCGACTCACCACCCCGCCACCCCACCCCACCCCGCCCTCGATCCAGGGAATAGACTGACTAGCGATCAACCGCTCTATCGTTTTCCCAGAAACAATTAACTTATGAAACGCAGGTATCATTCATCACCTAAGCTCTCCTCTGTTTATAATCCCGTACAAAAGCGGCAACGACGCAAGGAAAAAAAAGAAGGAAGAAGGCATTCTTCCGTTGCCTCGGTTCTCGATTCCCCCCTTTTACCACTCTCACTTCTGCCGCTCCTCTCGCTCCCTCGCCGTTTCGCTTTGTCCTGCTCTTGCGTGACCGTCTTGACGACCGTCTCTCGGCTCGCCTTGCATTATTACATTTTGCACATGTGTACACACTGCGGCCGACACGCCGAAGGAAGGGGAACTGTGAATGGCACGTTTCCGGACAGCAGCTGCGGGACAGAGAGAGAGAGAGAGAGAGAGAGAGAGACGCGAGGAACGACTCACCGTCCACTTCCGTCTGATTATGGCGGGCCGATTGCGCACCAAAGAATCTCGCGGCCTCTGCTGCGCCAATGATTAATCGCGCTCTGTTGATTTTGTTTATTTATACTTCATTAGACGCAGCAAAACTAATCATTACCCCCGATCATTGCCCAGCGGCTATTAGGTTATTTAAATGTCCGCTACTGCGGGCCGATCGTATACTAGTCACATGCGCGCCCAGTAAAGCAACAACCGCTAATAGTGAAAAACAAAAAAAAAAATCATCTTTCTACGTTACACACGCGATAAGCGACTCCTTACACTTCGGTTACTTAGAGATATTAAGAGTATCGACCGTGTCACCAAATGGCTCAATATAATCAGATATTCGCTCGGCAAATATATATATATATATATATATATGTGTGTGTGTGTTGGTTATTCCTTGACGGGCAGCCGAGTTAATTTCATGTAATCGTTCGTCCAAACCTATCAATCGGATAACCAGATATCTTATGTTTAAATAAAGTAATTAATCATGAATAATACAAAGTAACGTTGCATCTAAGCGACGATGATTTTGTAATAATAGATAGATTAGATTAGATGAGAATATATATATTTTTTTTAAATTGTCCATTGGATTACAACAATATCGACTTTGCCATCCTCTCCCATGGGGCCTATAATTCTCATTATTGCCGTTTCCCTTTATCCGTGTTGTTGTTGTTGTTGTTGTTGTTGTTGTCGTCGTTGTCGTTGTCGTTGTCGTTGACGTTGTCGTCATTGTCGTCATTGTCGTCGTTGTCGTCGTTGTCGTTGTCGTTGTCGTCATTGTCGTCATTGTCGTCGTTGTCGTCGTTGTCGTCGTTGTCGTTGTCGTTGACGTTGTCGTTGTCGTTGACGTTGACGTTAAAAGTTTATTAAATTCATATCAATTATTCGTTAAATTGATCAAACTCGTCCGAGCGAACTTGCGACTTCGCACTCCCTGCTACCGATACTATAAAATTTATTAACACTACAAAAAATCACAGAGCAACTGATCATTTTCTCGTTTAGTTTTTTACCAATGACGTGGCAATTATTATTAGATTTTTGCAAAATTATCGTCTCTCATAGGATTGAAGTGTACGATGCCCTTGAAGAGTTTTTTTTTTTTTTTTTTTTTTTTTTTTTGTTATTTACACGTGCGAGTTATCTTTGGCGATTATTTTCCATTTTCATTGTTTAGATTTTAATAATGACAGTAATATTTAATTATAAGATCGAATGATATTAGTCGACAAGCTCACTTATTAAACGTTATTCCGCCTTCAATGGCGTAATGTAATTGCAACTCCACAATCTATCGGACACAATTAATTAAGCAAATTTATTATAAATTAAGTATATAATATTACGTAGACGATAAAAAGTGGAGCAGACTTAGAGATACTGAGAAATGAGTTTTTAAAATGTCATTCTCTATTTTCATATGACTGGCAAGTTTATAAAGCTAAAATTCGAAATTACAAAAATACGTTGGCAGTTGTCGTGTTACTCTTATCGATTAGGCTCGTTCTATACTCGTTACAATGCGACGCGCTCCTCGACGCGAATAATTACGCACACGAAAGCCAGCAACGCCGAAATCGTAGCAGCACTTAAATCCACCTACAAACCATGTAGGCCATAATTCCAGATTATCATCGAAAGGACGAACGCGTGATTCATGCTTAGCATTGGCACGACGAAGGGGGAAGGACATATTACACTACTTGACCGTGCGCAAGAACAAAGGACTTTTCGATAATTAAAAGTGATTACATAAGCCCCTCGGGCAATTCTAATCTGCCAACAATCGAGCCCAGGTTTCTATATCTCAAGGTCACTCCCAGGAATTCTCATTCTTCCTCCGGCTGGCTCCTCTCTCAAAATTGCCTTAATGACTCGTGATGGAAGAGGTGGTTTGGATGTCGGCTGCGAGCGGGAGACGGAAGAAGTGGGGCGGCAACCGACGAGGTGAAGGAGCAGGGGGCAGAAGTAGCGGTGCGAGGGATTGCGAGGGATTGCGAGGGGGGTAGGAGGGGAGCGTGTAGGAGGGAGAATGGAAGGAGTGAGTTGGCGGTAGGAGAAAGACCGGAGCCATAAATTCGTAATCCCACGAAACAATGGCGTGACGAATATAAGGCCGCAAAACAGCCGGCAGGTCCCGAGTAAGAGAGAGATGCCCTTTTTAGTCTGCCCGCCTTTTTTTATCTCCGAATGTTTTTTTTGCATTTTGTTTTCTTATTTATTTATTTATTTTTTTTTTCTCAACGCCGGCCGCGCGTTTTGAAATGGGAGTGGACGCATATTGCGATTTCTTAGGACCCCTCCGACGTTTCTGAGTGTCATTGACAGTGATTGAAAAGTTTATGCGTCAAGAGAATATTCATATGCTTCCTTTTCCTTATTCCTCTCGCTTTTTGTCTTTGGATTTTCTAGTCTCGCTAGCCTCCAAAATATAACGTAAACCGAGCCGATCGATATAACTTGTCTCCTTGTAGCCAAACCTCTTTACTTGCATTTCACTGAAATTTTCAACCAATCGAGGAAAGCTCGATCGCGTAATGATAATTGGCCCCGGTACCCCCTCGCCCTGAAAATCCAACATCGTCCAATTTCAATCTTAAAATTGCTATTATTATTGTACATAGATTATACTATATGTCGAGTCCTCTTTTCCTTGTACTGTGAAATATCCACTGGAATTGGGGCTCCGAGCTTTATAGAATTTTATAGAACAATGATAGGAGAGCAAATTGGATAATGAGAAATATTTTTCCCAACCGATTACCAATATGCAAATCTTGGAAGGACAGACAGTATTCCAGGTTATGCGCCTCTTCCTTCTTCTTCATTCCTTCGAGCTCCCCCTCCTACGGCACCCTTTGTCTTTATACCAGCATACCGCGTA